CGATTTGCCGCTTAACCGGGGCTATCGGGGCTTTTTTGAGACTTATATGGTGTTTAATATTCATTCAATTTTGTTTCACATGGTGAGTCGTAACACTATTTTCGCACTAGTGTGAACCGAGCTCTGCATTTTGGTCCCGTTATGCTAACACAGTGTTCTAGGGTAGGGGTGAAAGAATGCAAGGATTTGCGGAAAGTTTCAAGGACAGAGACACCGCCCCACTTAGTCTCTTTGTATCGATCTTCAAGTGCGTTAGCAAAATGTCAGGGTGTAAAAGGAAGCGTGTTGTCTTAAGTATTCAACAGAAACTTGAAATTATCAATCAGTTGAGAAAAAGAGGTGTAGTTAAACAATTAGCAATGCAATACGGTAGTGGAGAACAAACTGTTCGTGATTTGAAAAGCAAAAGAATCAATTAATTTCCTTTGCTGTGTCTTCTAATTCAAGCGGAATGAAGAAGAGAAAAACAATGAAAAAATCAACATATGCTGATCTCGACAAAGCAGTGCTGATCTGGTTTAATCAACTAAGGGCACAGGGAACAACAAATAACAGGAGCAGTTTGCGCTAAACAAGCGAAATTTTTTTCGAAGCACTTGAACTGCAAGGAAGTTTTGACCNTTTTGACGCTTCTTCCGGTTGGCTAACACGTTTCAAGCAGCGTCATGGAATACGAGAAATCAGTATTCAAGGTGAGAAATTGTCAGGGGACTTGTCAGCATCAGATCAATTTTGCACCAATTTTGATAGTTTTGTGAAAAGTGAAAATCTGCTGCCAGAACAAATCTATAATGCCGATGAAACGGGTCTTTATTGGAAATGCTTGCCAACCAGAACTTTGGCATTTCAAAATGAAAGACAGGCTCCAGGTCAAAAATCCAGTAAGGAGAGATTGATGGTCTTGTGCTGTTCTAATGCATCAGGAACACACAAACTAATACCAGTAGTTATCGGCAAAGCGAAAAGACCACGCTCTTTTAAAGGAACAGTAGCTTCAAGTCTGCCTATCCATTATTTTAACCAGAAAGTAGCTTGGATGAATAGAGCGATATTTAAAGAATGGTTTGATTTTAAATTCGTGCCTCAAGTTCGTGACCATCTAAAATCCCAAGGCCTACCTGACCCAAGGCCTACCTGAGAAAGCTGTGCTCCTCATTGACAATGCGAAAGTCTCCTGAGGTCAGATGATGGAAATATTTTTGTGAAATATTTTCCCGCTAATGTTACCGCACTTATCCAACCAATGGATCAAGGAGTTATCTCAAGTATGAAGAGAATCTACAGATCAAATTTGCTACAAAAGTACATCGATGAAGGCAATGATCTGACGTGTTTCTGGAAGTCCTTTTCAGTATTAGATGCCATATACGAGATTTCAACAGCGTGGGATACAGTAAAGCCATCTGTATTGAAAAATTCATGGAAGAAACTGATGCCTTTCATCACTAATGAAGATGACGAAATCCATGGATTCACTGGATTCTGTGAAAATGAGATAGCCATAGAACTGACAAAATTGGCTAACCCAAGTTCTTGGTGTTGAAGAAGTCAACGAGGAAAATATATGAGAGTGGTTTGACTGTGACTCGTGTGAGCCGGGCTTCGAAATGTTAAGCAGTGACGAAATCGTAAGTTCTGTGGGGAAGAAAGTGAGAATGAGGAAGAGGTGGACAGTGCTGCTAGTAAGAAAATATCACATGGTGCTGCTCTTAATCATTTGGAATCCTTACTAGACTATCTTGAGAGTGAAGAGAACAGTTTATTAAGTGACAAGCTAATATTACGTAGGCTTCGTACGGATATCCGTAAAAAGGAAAATGCCGCAAAAAAGCAAACAACAATATAATTTTTTTTAAGTGTTAAGTGTGAATATTCGTGAAACGTGTTGGATGTTGTTGAACACTGTGATTGAAATAACTAATTCATACTTCAGTGTAATGTAAAAAAAATATTAAATAGGCCATGAGATGACAGAAATGAGGTTGAATAAATTTAAACACAGGTAGGCCTATAGTAGAGGGTGGGGCGCAGAACTTCCTTCTTGTGAATACGCATTGTGAAGGGAGGGGAGGTCGCAGAAAAGTGGGGATAGGCTCGGCGAACGCAGCAGTCGCGGAAGTTTCTCTCTTAATACCCCTCAGTAGGACACATGAGGTGGACGAGTGAGTAGCGTGCGTTTGCTGTCGAAGCCTATTTTTCGAACAGCCATTCCTAAGTGGCGGTGCAGCGTGCGTTCCGTACTCACTTCGGAATTAAGCCCAGAGGTCCCGTACCCGACCGGAAATCGATTGTTTTGTGGGTCGAGAACTTTAGGACTACCGGGATTTTAGTGAAAAAATCATCAGGACGACAACGGACCGTTACGACGCCAGAAAATGTGGAGGCAGTTCGAGAGTCGATTTTGAGATCTCCAAGACGCTCCGCTCGCAAACATGCAGTCACCCTAGATATATCCAATCGTTCAATGCGCCGAATTCTTCATGAACATCTTCATTTCCATCCCTATAAGATGGTTGTTGTGTAAGAATTGTCACCACGTGATTTCCAGAACCGAATAATGGCATGCAAAACGTTATTGGAAACTTTACCCCCTGATGCACTTGTTTTCTTTAGTGATGAGACACATTTTCACCTATCCGGATGTGTCAAGAAGCAGAATATGCGCTGTTGGAGTGGTAACAATCCCAGAGAGCTCCATGAGAGGCCACTTCACAGTGATAAGGTGACAGTATGGTGTGCGTTGTCGAGAGTTGGAGTTATTGGTCCTTATTTTTTTGAAGAAGACAATCATGCAGTTACTGTCAATTCACAGCGGTATGTGGACATGATTAAAAACTTTTTCGAACCAGCTCTTGAAGAAATGCATCTAGGAAATGTCTGGTTCCAACAGGATGGTACCACGGCCCACACAGCCCGAGCTTCGATGACAGTTTTGAGGGCAAAGTTCCCCGGACGGCTCATCTCGCTTCGAGGTGACATCCCGTGGGC